CAGAAGAACAGCTGGAGCCTATTCCCAGTGTGTGCATGTGCAGAATTGCCAGACGAAGGGAACAGCTAAGGAACAAGGGCCGACTTGGGAATAAGGCCACAGGTGGATGGTGAATGGCCCCTCCCAGAGGGAATAAAAGAGAAGCGAAAGGGGAGTGGAGTTTGCAGGAGACAATTAGTTCGCTTAATTGATTCCTGACTATGAGGCTCCTTGCCAAGTTCTACAGATCTCAGCCTGGCAGCTCTCCAAGCCAGATAAGGTCTGTGACCGTAAATCCTCCCTTGAAAGACTTGGCTGGATGTGAATGAGCAGAATTCACAGTCCGTTAATAAAAGGGGTTTTTGTCAGGACAAGGAATTTGTTTCATACTCTTGGGAATCGTAAGTCAGAACAGGTGCTGCTTAAAATTGGCCAGTTGCTCAGCAGACGCAGTCCATTTTGGGAGAGTTCAAAGAAAGCTACCATTGTTGTTGGCTTTTTTACTAACTTGGGATCCTGGGGGTTCTTGTAGTCCTGTTTTATCTCTAGGGCTATTTATAATTGTGCAGGTCTGTGACAACTTGGCATAGCCATTTCGCCACAAGACAACTTGCCATGGCTAATTCGCCGTGGGACAACTCACCGCAGGACAAGAGTTACACTAATATGTCCCAAAAGGTCCTTTTTTCAAGAGGCAACTGGACTTTCTGGTTTTTCTTTGAAGACGTTTCGCTTCTCATCCAAGAGGTTTCCTCAGCTCTGACTGAATGGAAGGATTTGTACTCCTTGCAGACAGCTGGTCATTTGCATCCTTTTAGAGAGTCATCGAGGCCACTTGGAGGTTATCGGTGTCCTCAGGTAATGCAAATGGGCGTGGAGCCTTCTTGGAATTGTTGAAAGAAGCGGGTTGTAGACTGGAGATAGATCATGTCGGGTGTCCCTCCCACTCTATTGAGAGAGGGGGTATTCAGTTTTGACACAGGTGGCCTCTTTGACCCCTCTTTCAAACCAGTAGTTCTCTTTGTCCAAAATGTGGACTCTGCTGTGTTCAAAAGAGCGGGTTTTGTCTTCCAAATGCCGATGGACCTCTGAACCTTGTCCTGATGGGTTTATCCTTCTGTGTTGCGTCATGCATTGGTGAAACGGCTGTTTTGTTTCCCCAGTGTAGTTCTACACAGGGCTCACGGCTCACTGCATTGTACTGCATATACTACATTGCTCAGTATGTGTCCGGGTGTTTCATCCTTGGGGTGAACGAGCCTCTGCCTTGCTGTATTCTTGGGTTTGAAGTGTGCACGTAATGTTGTGTTGGCCGAAACCGAAACGTCTTCAAAGAAAAAAACCAGAAATTCTAGTTGCTTCTTAGAAGAAAAAGCCCCTTTTGGGACAACCGTGACCTGGGAATGACTGAGAATCTTCACAGACTAATATCTACCTTCTTTCCCTGAAAATAAGACCTCCCGGAGAATAAGCCCTCCCCTGAAAATCGGGCTTCTGAGGGCATGCGCCAAAATAAGCCCTCCCTGAAAACATTGCAACACAGCAGCAGCTGTGAGGTGACCACGTTCCCCACTTTCTGCACCTCAAAACTAATAAGCCCTCCCCCCCGAAAATAAGGCCAAGCGCTTATTCTTTTTTGGGGGGGTCAAAAGAAAACAAGTCCCTGTCTTATTTTCGGGGAAAACGCGGCAATCGAATCGTTCAAGAAAGGAAGCCAAAGGAGGCACCAAATAAAACACGGAGTGAGAAAAATCGAAACCATTTTTAAATCATTAAAATCAAATTGTTGATTTGCCCCCGCGGTGAGTTGTGCAAGCAAGTTGTGCAGTGATGAGTTGTGCCGTGACAAACTGCCCCATCCTGATAATGGTGTCGCTGGCCTTCCGGGTTCCCTTTGAGTAAACAAGCTTGGGACGAAGTGACTGGTGACATTTGGAACAGGGGACGCTTGAATTTGTCTTGGCTTCTCCTTACGTTCCCCAGGGGCGTCCCGGAAGGCGATCTGTTGTTTGCGCACCGCGCGCGGGGGGGGAGGGGAACCTCCTTCGGCAAAAACCGGCTGAGGCAATCTCTCTGTTTTGATTGCAAGATCTGTTCTAAGAAGCCTCCGGTGTCCTTTGAGAAAATTCCTCCCGGCTCTTGATTCTCCCGGTGTTTCGACTACGTTGCTTCTGCGGGTTGTTCTAAACCAAGGGTGGAGATGCAGGCGTTTTATGAGCTGACGCTGCGGTGTTATGTACGAGAACGGAGAGAGAGAGCGTTCGTTGTCTCGTTTGGGGTGTGTGTTTTCACAGGTTGCTGCTATGGATAAATGTCCCCCTCTTCTTTACAGTGGTTATTAATAGGACAGTGGGTTTGTTTTTCGAGTCGTGAGAAAGGACAGTGAAAGAGGCATTGTCATGCCGGCCTCCCTCAGCAACCAAGGAAGAAACCGTTTCACTCCATTTCGCAGAATTAAGAGTACTTTTGCTGGTTATGAAAAGGTAGCAGCTAAGCAAAGCAAGATCTGAGGCAAAAGCGCGCAAAATCATACATATCAATATGTGACCCAACTCACTCCCCCTGGTAACCCCAATCCACAGTCCAATCTGCAAATCCCTTAGGTGTCATGTGGGTTCTATCTTCAAAAAGCATCATCAGGTTGGTATGCAGGACAGTTGGCCTTGGGGCCCCCAATCATTATCTCCAGCATACGCAGTAGATGGTGAGAACAAAACTCCCTTTACACAATCCCTCCTGTAATTAAAACTTCCCTTCCCAAATACCAGGCCTCCCCGTCCCCGTTTCAATGGCAGCCGAAAGCAAGTAGCGAAACAGAGGCTGACATCCGGCCCTCCTTCGGGAAGAGAAGTCATCCCTGCAAGAAAATAAAAGAATAGAAAAGACAACATTAAGATATGTACATTTCAAATAGGATCAAGGCTTATCAGGGTACTTCCTGTAGAACTTCTGTAAGAGCCTAGGAGCTCTAACGTGAGATTTATCAACCCGTTCAGCCTAGGGGGGGATGCTTCCAGGATACTAGATATTGAATATTTTGTTGCATGTTAGTCAGACCTCACCTAGGGTGCCAGATCGGTACCAAAGCTTCAGAACATGGTGGGGAAGATCAGGAGATCAATTAAAAGAGAAAACAGCAGTGGGACAGGAGAGGGTGGCCTTCTCGAATCTAGAAGGACCAGAATTTCAGAATCAGAATAGAGCTGGGAGGGACCCGAGGGGTGATCTAGTGCAGCCCCCTGCTCAAGCAGGAGACCTTATATCCATGACAGCGAACCTATGACACCCTTGCCACAGGTGGCACATGGAGCCCTCCCTGCGGGCGCACGAGCCATTGACCTGGCTCAGCTTCACCCCGCGTGCATGTGTGCTTCCCGCTGGCCAGCTGAATTTTGGGTCTCTGCCACAGGTGGGAGACATGCATGCATGCATGGGGGGGGGAGGCTGCACCCCATTTTTGGTCCCAGGAGGCTTCAGGGAGGCCTGCTAGGTCCAAAAAGGGGGGCGTGACGGGTTGCAGGCGCACACATGAGGGAGCAGGGGGAGCATTGGGGTAGTGTGTGTGTAGGGGCGGGATGCGTCAAGGGTGTGTTGCGTGTGCATTGCGTTAAGGGTAAGGGCTCAGGTACACGGGCTTTCAGCACGAGAGGACCAAAAGTTTAGCCATCGCTGCCCAGTCAGACAAATGGCTGTCCAGCCTTTCCTTATAAACCGCTAGTGATGGCCCCCCCCACAATTTCTGGAAGCAAGTTGTTCCACTGACGAATGGAATAACAGGGTTGGGCTGCCACAAAGAGGAGGGGGTCAATTTCTTCCGCATAGCACCTGAAGGCAGAACGAGAAACAACAGGGGGGGGGGGGAAACAAATCAAGGAAAGAAGCGATCTAGAATTAAGGAGAAGCTTCCTAACAGTGAGGACAATTCACCAGTGGAACTGCTTGCCACTAGAAGTTGTGGATGCACCATCACTGGAGTTTTTTAAGAAGTTTGGAAACTTTGTTGGGTTGGCAAATATGGCTCCCTGCCACAAATTCGCCATCGCGGGTATAGGGTCTCCTGCTTGAGCAGGAGGCTGGAGTAGAAGACCTCCAAGGTCCCTTCCAGCTCTATTCCGATTAAAGACCATAGTGAGTCAGCCATCTTTTCAGGCCCTTCTCGAAGACCAGCCAATCTAGGTTCTCTAGGGATGAAGTCTCCAAGGGTGGGCGCCAGGGGTGGGATTCGCTTACCTTCCTTACCGGTGTGCAAATGTGAGCACTCGGATACTCCTCGTCTGCGCATGTCCACCACCTTCTGCGCATGTGCAGTGCTCACACATGACATTCGGGGCGGGTGGGCGGAGCTTCCCGCAGCCGCCGTTAACGGTTCGTCCAGACCGGAGTGAACCGGCTGAATCCGAGGTGACGCAGTGGGTAGAGTGCAGTACTGCAGGCCACTTCAGCTGACTGCTAGTTCAGCAGTTCAGCGGTTCAAATCTCACCGGCTCAGGGNGTCTGCCTAAACCGCCTGTGGTTTTTCTGGTCTTGATCTGTGTGCTCTTGTCATTTGACAGGGAGTTGCAGCCCGGCGTGAGATCAGTCCAGGTTGTCCTCAGGTAAGCTTAAGGAGGTGCTAATTAAATTAACCCTCTTCCTTAGAAACAGGGATGGGCTGGAGGGGAAGGGGTTTAAGCAAGGCAGGGTTTGCGAGACGAGATTCCCTGCAAACAGGCTCCAAAGCGTGGCACGAGGGACGTGTCTGTCGTCCAACTCGTTCTGTCTTTGGAACGGAATAGATTTGGAAGTCCCAAAGGTGCTTCCCCCCCACCCACCCCCAAGAGGCAACTGGGCTTTCTTGCTTTTCTTTTGAAGACGTCTCGCTTCTCATTCCGAGAAGCTTTTCTCAAGCTCTGACTGGATGGTGGGGAAATGGAAGGATTTTATACTTCTTGCAGACAGCTGGTCATACGTGGTACATGCAGTACAATTGCAGTGAGCCATGGGCAGAACTGTACGTTGGGGAAACAAAACAGCCACTTCACAGACGCATGGCACGACATAGGAGAACAAACCCATCAGAGCTAGATTCAGTGGTCCATCTACATTTCAAAGACAAAGGCCATTCTTTGGAAGGCAGCAAAGTCCACATTTTGGACAGAGAGGAAGGCTGGTTTGAAAGAGGGGTCAAAGAGGCCATCTATGTCAGAATTGAACAGCCGCCTCTCAACAGAGGGGCAGGGATACGACATCATCTAACTCCTGTCTACAACACAATCCTTTCAGCAGTTCCAAGAAGGCTCCACACCGATTTCCACCAATCAGGGGACCCTGAGGACACAGACAAACATCCAAGTGGCCTCAAGGACCCTCTGAAAGGATGCAAATGACCAGCTTTGTCTGCAAGGAGTATGAATCCTTCCGTTCCCCACCATCCAGTCAGAGCCGAAGAAGCTTCTTGGATGAGAAGCGAAACCTCTTCAAAAAGAGAAACAGAAAGTCCAGTTGCCTCTTTGAAAAAAAAAAAAACATCTTTGGGACAGCCATGACCTGGAGGACTGAGAATCTCCATAGACAAATGGAATTGGGAGCATTCCTGACACCTTTCTGGCCCCCAGGGGCCAGTCTTGACCTGAAATTGAATCATAGAATCCAGGGGCTGGAAGGGACCTTTAGAGGTCTTCAAGTCCAGCTCCCTTCCCCAGGCAGGAGTCAAAACTCTAAATTTTTGGAGAAGATAGGGCTGAACTGAGTGTAGATTTGCTTGTNCCTCCTCCTCCTCCTCACAAACCCCCTCCTCCCTGCTAGCATTGCATTTGTGTTACCCAATTTGGTCATAAGGCGTCTGCAAGAAAACCGCCAAGCTCAGAGAACGCCGAGGGTCAACCACGAACTACAACTACTCTTTTCAATTGATGATCATTTCCTTGGTTTGGGAAGTCCCTCCGAAGGGCAGGTGTTCCTGCAGGGACCCATCGTGGGTTTCCCTTCCTCAAAATGCCAGTCGGGATTTTCAGACAGACCCTCCTTGGTTTCGTGCCGTCAACGGAGGTGACTTTGGGACGAGATTCAATCAATCTCCCTCGGATTGCTCCCCTGACCATCTTTTTGCCTCCCCTGTCCAGTCCCGCAGAACAACGAGAAACTTCAAGAGAGTCCCTGCGTGTTTGCCCTGACGCCACGGCAGGTCGAGCTGATCAGGAATTCCAGGTAAATTTCCTCGCGGAGTGCCATGCAAAAATCGAAGGCTTCCCGGAGTGATGGAAGGGTAAAATAAAATTTAAATTAAAAAAAAAAACTCAGGGAGATCTTTGAGTCTCTTAAGTGGCAGAGTAGCTCACCCAGCAGCGCAAAATCCCATCTTGTTTTAAAAATATCGTCTTTGCCATAGATCTTTGCTGGCTGAGGAACTCTGGGAGTTGAAGTCCACAGGTCTTAAAGTTGCCAAGGTTGGAGACCACTGCCATAGATGATCTCCATCAACCTGAGTATTGCTCCAGGAAAATGGGAGCATGAATGGTTTCTCTCCAATTTGGCATTTGTTCATAGGGGACCCACTTCAAACGGTTGCATCAGTATCCCTTGGCAATCATATAGGTAGTCCTCGACTTACGACCAGTCGCACAGCGACCATTTGAAGTCACAATGGACCCTCCCAAACGACCAGTATTTTGAAGTTTTGAAAGGGGGGTGGGAAGAGAGAGAGAGAGAGATGGAAGGAGGAAGAAAAAGAAAGAAAGAAAAAAAAGGGAAAAGGGAAAGAATAAAAGGATAGAAAAAGTGTGAGAAAGAAAGAAGAAAGAAAGATAAAAAGAGAGAAAGAAAAGAAAGAAAAAAGGAAAGAAAGAAAAAGTGTGAGAAAGAAAGTGAGAGAAGAAAGAAAGGAAAAGAGTGAGAAAGAAAGGAAGGAAAAGAAAGAGACAAAGGAAGAAAAAGAAAGGAAAGAAAGAAAAGGGAAAAAAGGAAAGAGATAGAGAAAAGAAAGAAAAAGCGAGAAAGAAAGAAGAAAGAAAGGGAAAAAGGGAGAGAAAGAAAAGTGACAGAAAAAGGAAAGAAAGAAAAAGTGTGAGAAAGAAAGTAAGAAAAAAGAAAGGAAGGAAGAGTGAGAAAGAGGAAGGAAAAGAAGTGAGAAAGAGAGAGAGAAAGGAAGAAAAAGAAAGGAAAGAAAGGGAAAAAAGGAAAGAAAAAAAGAAAAAGTATGAGAAAGGGAAAAAGGGAGAGAAAGAAAAGTGAAAGACAAAGAAAAAGGAAAAAAGGAAAGAAAGAAAAAGTGTGAGAAAGAAAGTAAGAGAAAAAAGAAAAAAAGGAAAGGAGTGAGAAAGAGGAAGGAAAAGAAAAGAGAGAGAGAGAAAGGAAGAAAAAGAAAGGGAAAAAAAGGAAAGAAAGGGGAAAAAGGAAAGAAAGAAAAAGAAAAAGTATGAGAAAGAAAGAAGGGAAAAAGAAAGAAAAGTGAAAGAAAAAGAAAAAGGAAGAAAGGAAAGAGAAAAAGTGAGAAAAAGAAAGTGAGAGAAAAAAGAAAGAAAAAGGAAAAGTGAGAAAGAGGAAGGAAAAGAAAAGTGAGAAAGAGAACAAGGAAAAGAAAGGAAAGAAAGAAAAGAGGAAGTGTGAAAAAGAAGGAAGGAAGAGAAAGGAAGTGAGTGTGTGTGAGAGAGAGAGAAAAGGAAGGAAAGTCATATGATCTTTGTGGCTCCTCCATGGTCACATGCCCACGATTCAAGATGGTTAATCCACTTAATGACAGCCAGAGAAGAGGGACATAAAATCAGGCGCGATCATGCGCTAGCTCGCTTAGCAGCCGGTACAATTTACAGGCTCAATTAAGTTGGTCGTTAAGTTGAGGACCACCCATCCATGAAAGATAACGTCTCCCCTGAACGTGTGGCTTGTCAGTGGCGGGAAACTCTCCTCTCTCTCATCCTTCCGCTGTTTGTCAGCGGGCAGTGGCTGATGGACCTTGGAGTCGTCCTAATCACAGCAGAAAGTGTTCAGCGCACCTGCCCTCTCTCTCCTGATCGAAGGGTCTAGAATCTCCTTCGGGCTTTCCCTGTGGCTCAGTTCTTTGTCCAAACCTGTTAAATTGCACACCCTCCAAATTACAGGGTTTGAGGCGATGGGTCACTTCTCTTTGTGTGTTGTGTGTTGTGTGTTGTGTGTGTGTGTGTTGGTGGGGAGGCTCTAATCTGGGTTTTTAAGGCACGACTGAAGAGTTGCCAGCTCAGGAAAAACCCAAGTCAGAGACCTGCTTCTTCGGTTACTTGGGGTTTCCTTCTTTCTTTCTTTCCTTTCTTTCTTTCTTTCTTTCTTTCTTTCTTTCTTTCTTTCTTTCTTTCTTTCTTNCTGACTCTGTAAACCGCTTAGAGAGGGCTGAAAGCCCTATGAAGCGGTATATAAGTCTAACTGCTATTGCTATTGCTATCCCTCCACTGGTGGGTACTCTCAAGATATCTTCTGCGAATCTGTCCGGTCGCTTTCATAGTCCACTCCCCGCCCCGCCTCCAGGGTGGCATTGAATGCACCGCTTATTTCTGGGTTGCACAAAAATAATCAACCCACAATTTCCCATTGTACCCTTGTGTTACCACAACTGGAGAAAACCTCTCATATCTGCCCCTCAGTTACAGAAACTTTTCAAAACCTTTGACTTCGCCTAGCTTGAAATGCACCGTCGGGTTGTTCTACAGGACGTTCTCGACTTACGGCCACAATTGACCCCGAAGGTTCCGTGGCCAAGCGAGACATTTGTTAACTTCTGCCCCATTTTATGGCCTTCCCTGCCACCCTGCAGTTGTTACTCACCCAGTTGTTAAGTGACTCCAGCTTCCCTGTTGACGTTGCTCATCAGACAGCTGCAAAAGGCGATTGCCCGACCCCGGGACACTGCAACCGTCGTAAATATGAGTCAAGGGTCTGAACTTTGATCACGTGACCACGGGGATCCTGCGATGGTGGTAAGTGTGAAAATCGGTCCTTTTTTCCCCAGTGCCGTCGTAACTCCGAACCGTCACTGAACGAACTGTTGTAAGTCGACGGCTACCTGTACTTAAATTTTATTCATTTATTCCTTTTTTAAACTCCTTCCTTTTCTCTTGTAAATGACTCCCCTATAAGCTCTTCCCCCCCCCCCCTTTTTAGCATCCAGGCCGATGCTGGCTTCGTAAACTGGCTTGCAGCTCCCAAGATTCTCTGGCTTGGTTTGCATATCGCGTTAAGCCAATCTGTGGTTTGTTTTGGTTTCCTGCCGTGTGCAAACCCAGCCGTGACGGTTTCCGAGGGCTGTTGGCCTCGTACGCTTTGCCGCCCCTTGTTCGCCCCCAGGGTTTCGCCCCCAGCCGTTAACCTCTTACCATTTGTCCTCTGACCCTAGCGGCTAATGGGGCCCAGCTTCTTCGGTCCCAGGGTACCCGAGGCGACAGGGCGGAGAAACAAACTGTCAGGCCTGCCTCCTTCAATATCCAAGAAAGGAAAACCTCAACTCCATTTGAATAGAGTACTTTTACTAGATACGAAGTGAAAACAGCGAAAGGAAGGCAAGATCTGAGCCAGAAAGGCGCGAACAAGCACCCTCCCTACAATTCCCCAGCCCATTGTCCAATCTGCAACTCCCTAAGGTGTCGTGTGTGGGGTGCATCTTCCAACAGCCTCATCAGGTTGGTATGCCAAATGGTCGGCCTTGACCAAACATCAGCCACCAGCATGCGCAGAAGACGGTGAGAACAAGACTCCTCCAGTGCAATATAATTCCCTTCCCAATACTATGCGCACAGACACACACACACCCCTGTTCCTATGGCAGCCAATAGCAAGCAAGCAAAACAGAGGCTGCCACAAACCCCTGGAGAGGAAACTCAACATGGAACGCTTCCTCCCTCCCTCTTTCTTTCTCCCTTCCCTTCCTCCGATTGATTGGCGGCCAACTTTCTTGTGCGCCCAAAAGCCCGGGGTGAGCAGTATTCCGCCGAATGGGTCGCGACGGAGGGTCTGGGACTGAAGAGGCTGGGGCCCGTTAGCCAGGGCGAACAGCTAGGGTCGTATCGGCGGAGGACAAATGGTAAGAGGTTAATAGCTGGGGGCGAACAAGAGGCGGCGAAGGATACGAGCCGAACAGTCCTAATTTTGACAGCTTCGTCGTTGGGCAGCAGCCGAAAGTTGGTCTCCAGTTGTTTATCAGTTTGTAATATATAAAATACAAAAATACACAATTACAGGGAGTCCTTGATTTACATCAGTTCGTTCAGCGACCCTTTCGAAGTAACAACGGCGCCAAAGAAAACATGACTTTACGATCAATCTTGATACTTGGGACCGTTGCAGCATCCCCGTGGTCCCGCTTGGCGACTGACTCACCTTTATGACGGTCGTGGTGTCCCAGAGTCACACGATCCCCCTTCTGACAAGCAGAGTCAATGGGAAAGCCAGATTCACTTAACAACCGTTAAGAGCCGAGGTGGCGCAGTGGTTAAATGCAGNAGGTGCCTTGGAGAATAGCTTGACTCCCTCTTCTTTGTGGCAACCCCTGAGATATTGGAACACTGCTATCATGTCTCCCCTAGTCCTTCTTTCTGTTAAACTAGACACACCCAGTTCCTGCAACCGTTCTTCATATGTTTTAGCCTCCAGTCCCCTAATCCTCTTTGTGGCTCTTCTCTGCACTCTGTACATAATGCTTATGGTCTCCCTCCCATCTCGCTCTGACCTGTGCTTCCTTTCTCAGAATCTGCTACACAGATACCAGCTGCGCTCAGGAAGATCAATATCCCCCGAATATCGCCGTCAAAGTCAACCACAGTTATTGTTCGGTTCCGGTAAGTCATTTTGGGACTTCCTCCGGAGGAATCGTTGGGCCGCATCTGTTTGAACTGGGCTTAGCTTCTCCGGGTTAGCCAGGCCCATTTCCACTTGCACAGCCTTCTCCTTGTATGGGCCAGGGTGGGTGTGGCTGGGGCAGGGGGCATGGCCGTAGTGGGCATGACACGGGACTCGTGTCGGGGTTACCAGTGGTGGCCGAGTGCCAAGGCAGGACTTCCCTGAGATCCTTCCTCACTCTCATCATCTTTCTTTCCTTCCTTCCTACCTACCTACCTACCTTTTTTTTCTTTTTCCTTCCTTCTTCATTCTACTCTCTTCTTCCTCCCCCCCTTTTCTTCTTTTTCCTTGCTTGATCTCTTCCCATCTTCCCTTCTTTTTCTCTGTCTTTCTTCTTTCCCTTCCCCCTTTCCTGTCCCTTCTTGCAGGCTCAAATGCAAAAGGGGAAATGTTTCTCTTTTTGTTTTGCCTTTAGTTCGTTTTAATAGCCTTCTGCCAGTGAAAACGGAGTTCAGGGTGCCACACCGTGCCTCCCCACACTCCATTTTCTGCCTGGACGGCCCCCTGCAGCCCTCTGTCAGTGAAAATGGAACTGGGGGGGGGGCGCGCATGTGGCATGCCTGCACTGTGTTTTCGGCCTGGACGGCCTCTTGCAGCCCTCTGCCAGCGAAAATGGAGCTCAGGGGTGTGGCAAGCTCGCACCCTGTTTTCTGCCTAGACAGCCCCGTGCAGCCCTCTGCCAGCGGAAACGGAGCTCCACTTTTGCTGGCAGAGGGCTGCAGGAGGCTGTCTAGGCTGAAAATGGAGTGTGGTGTATATGTGTGTGTGTGCAGCCCTCCCCTTTTTTGTGTGTGGGGGAAGCTCCATTTTTGCTAGCAGAGGCACTTTGCTGTTTCCAGGCGGTCCCCGCAGGCCAGATCTTAAGCACCGAGTTTGACACTCCTGCTGTCAGCGTTCCAAATATCATGCAGAATTAAATGAGAGTCCAAGGCAGAGCTATCCTTAAAGTTCCAATTTAATAAGACAGACATGTTGGCATCGTACCGTGGAATCCCAATTCCGGGAGTTACATCGGATTCCCACCCAGTTGAAAGTTCATGATCTTGTCCCCACACCCACAAATCCATCACATGGTCCAATCTTCAATCTTCTTCTTCCACACTGGCATCTCCACCCAGCTGCTTCTGGTCAGGTGCAGAGGTGCGGAGGCAAAA